ATTAAGCAGTATAAATGAATGGAACCTTGTTTATGACAATTCAGTTTTCAAGAGATCTTTGCTAGTGTGATTGAGTGACACACTTTATTTCGAACGAAGCGATATAGTTGAATGGAACTCTGATTATAGCAATTCATTTGTCAAGAAACCTTTACTGGTGTGATTGAGTTACACATATTACTGCGAACCAAGCGATATACTTAAGTACAATCCTAATTATAATGATTCATTTATCAAGAGATCTTTGCTAATGTGTACGAGTGACACACTTTACTTCGAACGAAGCGATATAGTTGAATGGAACCCTGGTAATAACAATTCATTTGTCAATAGATCTGTGCTGATATGATTGAGTGACATAATTCGCTTCGAATTGAGTGATATACTTGAATAAAATCTTACTTAGAATGAGTTATTTACTGTTTCAACTTCGATCATTCAATTTTATGCGAACTTTTTTCTAAAGTAAAAGCCATATTGGTACAAAATCTTTGTTAGAAGTAATTATTTAACACGTTCATTGTCATATATTACTCTACTGACATACTTTATCTCAAAGTGAATCATATACTCGTATGGAATTTTACTTATAATGATTCAATTGTCAATACATCTTTGCTGATGTGATCGAATGATACAATTCACTTTGAACTAAGCTATATACATGAATAGAACACTGTTGAACACAATTCATTTGTCAATGGATCTTTGCTGATATGATTGACTCACATACTTTACTTCGAAATAAGCGGTATATTTAAATAGAATTATGTTTAGATTGATACATTCGCCATGTATCTTTCATCAGTGTGTATAATGTTTACTAGCCTAGTTAAGAGTGACATATCTGAACGAAATCGTTGTTTATGCCAGTCATGAGACAGGTTTCCCAATAATTTAAGCTGAATGTGAGTTTTGTTTTTTTCTGGTCATATACTTGAATACAATTCTAATCCTAACGATTCATTTGTCGATAGATCTTTCCTGATGTGATCGAATGACACAACGCGCTACGAAATGAGCAATATATTTCAATGAAATCATGATTAGAATGAATCATTTGTCAATTGATCTCTGTTGATAAGATGAGCTGACATCGATTGTTTCAAAGTAAGTGATATATTTGAAGAGAACAATTGTTGATGTTAATTACTTACTTTGCCGCGTCGCCTCATCTTACCTACTTCCAGAAGTCAATTTGAAATGAATAAGATAGTTGAACAGACTCATTCTGAAAATGATTCATATCTGATGCGCATTCTGACAGATGGTATACACTCGTGTTAAATTTTGGAATGAGTAAAGCGCTTGAATAGTATCCTGTTTAGTATTGTATACTTGAAGTGTAATGTTTGAACATGATCGACTGTGAGATTTTTCCAGCAAGGTAGAACTATAGTTGAATGGATTCATATTTAGAATGATTCATTATTCAGTTGATCGTCAAACATGCAATCTAGTATCATACTCCATTTCAAACTAAATAATGCATCCAATCAATACACTAAAATTGGCGAAAATGTAGCTATTTCATTTCTATCTGCTTCTCAGTGTGCCGCAAAGTGTTAACTTTTGAGAACAGTTCAACGAACTATTTGAATCTGATCTATGTCTCGGTAATTCATCATCTCAAACATCATCATTCATATAAATCAACCTAACTGTTGGCTTCGTTACGAGATTTATCTGAACAGAATCTTGCTTCATATAATTCACTAGCCATGTCATATTCAATCATGCGTTTAACTGTCACTGGCTGATTGTTAATAACATAAATGAACAAGACTTTGGTTAGATTAATTCACATGTCATGCGGTGTTTAACCATATGTTTTGATGAGAGCGACCGCATCAGAATACAATAAATGGACTCGAGCTTAATTAGTATAATTCATCTGCCGTGCACTATTTAATCAATTGTTTTGATGTTAGCAATGGCATCAGAATATTATAAATGAACAAGGATTTGGTCAAAATAGTTCATGCGCCATGCGGTGTTCAATTATGTGTTCTGATATTAACGATCAAATCTGAATAAAATAGATGAACTCGAGCCTAATTAGAATAATTCATCTAACATACGTTGTTGAGTACTATCTTCTAATATCATTGGTTGCTTCAGAGTGAAATAATTGAACACGACTGTACTTAGGATAATTCATATGATATGCACTGTACAATATTGTGTTCTAAAGTCATCGATTGCTCGAGAGTAAAATAATTGAACACGATCTTCGTTAGGATAATTCATATGCTATGCGTCGATCAATCTTGTGTTCTACTGTCATCGATTCCTAGATAGTAAAATAATCAAAGATGACCTTTCTTAGAATGATTCACTTGTAGTGTGATCCTCTAACACGATGTTTGTAGTTAATTTTGGGCTTAGACATGCACGAAAATGAATAGATCTATTGTTATTGCTATGTAGTTTTTGGGTGGACCTTTCTCATAAGATGTATCGCTATATTTTTGATGCAATTAGAGCCATATATATGAACAGAAAGCTAACAATTGGAATGTCTCGCTTATAAAGTGATATTCGATGAGATGATTTAAAGATGTACTTTGCTTCGGCGTGTTCGGTATATTTGAACAAAGGTATAAGTATAATGATTCATCGGCTTTGTAATCTAGCACTACCTGATGAGCTTTCACATTGAATTCTCGATGAGTTATATAAGTGAAGAGAAAGCAAAGGTTGCAACTAGTCAGTTTTGATGTATTTATTATTCGATGGATAAATGATGCACTAGGCTTTATTTCGAGGAAGTTTTTGAATAGATATTTTCTCAGAAATGCTCGTCTAGTACATCAGCTGTTCTGTATGAGTAATGCATAATCATTAATTGCAAGTGATTGATATACTTGAATAGAGTTATACTTAGAATTATTCATTTTTGCGATAATTTAATTTCTCATAGTAACGAGAGAAATTTTGCTTCACAATTAATGATATACATGAAAGAACAGATTGTTGCTGTTGTTCGTTTACTATGTAATTGATAATTAAATCACAAAGCTCAGTTCCAATTCAAAGTGTTGTCTATGGATTGAACAGGATACTTGTTAACAAAATTCAGTTCTTGGATGATTTTTTCGATCAGATAATGCTTACGATAATTTACTTCAAAGTAAGTATAAAATTTGAATACAAATGTTGCTGTATCTATTCATGCAATGTGAGATCAACAAAGTGATGTTGTGTTATAGAGTGATCATTGAGCTTACAACAAACGTGAACACATTTTAAGCTGAAGTAATAATATTAAAAACTGTACAAGGCATTGGCCATATAACTTCGAACATTATATGCTCTCATTTGACTTCTTTATATACTCATACCGGACTTCTTATTTTTCATAAACTTTTGATGTTATATGGATGCAATCTAATTTTGAAGAGTGTTTGCATTGTTTTGACTTTTGAAAAGATTTTTCAGCATTTGAAGAATCTTATCTAACATAAACTCTAATTGATCTTAGATTACTTTCATATAACATAAAATCACTAATCAATGGTGAAGGTTTTATTAGTAGCTAGTATCCTAATTCTTAATTGCTTCGTTCAACTTTTTCCTCTCTCTATTTTTCTGTGGCATATATCATGCTTTTTGCCTTTCAAGAGCCTTTTTTTATACATATTAATCATTATTTATACTTGCTTTAACCTTTGCAATAAATACTTTAATTGAAAATGCGACAAAATTATGTGAATTTATCGAGATGATTGTTTTCCAAGCTAATAAAGAAGTGACATGCTACAAAATTTTGACCTCATGCGTCTTATCAATCTTATCAAGAGCGATATCAATACATCTTTTACCTATGAAAAGAAGATTTTATGTTTCGTCTTTTTCTAATAGTGAATAAAAGGACGCGACAAAAGTTATTCGCCATCTGTTTTGCTTTTTCAAATATTGTTACTAAAAAAATTAGAAAAAACTTACCATGGACCCGTCCGTCATGTCAGACGATTTCCTTAACTATTTTGGTGTCAAATGATAGCCCTCAACGAGGAACTACCAAACTGAAAATATGAGCTGCCCATGGCGCGCTTAGATCTAGGTATTCAAATTTTAAGGTATTGAAAATTTAGACATAATAACAACAGAATTTTTCGAATTCAGTTTTTTCGCAGCATTAACTACTTCTTTAAATAATGTTGCACAAATTTCAATATTTTCAGAAGGTTCAGTTACGTATGAATGAGAAAAGGAAGCTTTTGATCATCATAGCAAAGCGTTTTTAATCCATTTGTTCTTATTTAAATCGAAAATAATAAGTCTAAAGTAACTTTATTGTGATATACTACAAATGAATATGGATTTTTTTCAATCAGATGATAATGACAAAAATGTTTCCTGCACCAAGCACAAATCAGAAGTGTTCGATTTTCACAATTATTCATTGAACAATAGAGATCGTAGAATTTGAAATAAATATCCTTTGCTTTGTCAACTTCTTCAATTGTTCCGTGAATTATTCCAGCATTTATAAATCCTGATTTTATTAGATTTTTAAATGATGGAGCAGATAATTGATTATGAATAACTGATTGCATATTTATAAGATATTGACGATCACTCATATTGATCACTGTCCGATTGATGTGAGTGTAATGTTCAATTTTCTTATGAATGAATTTCCACGAACGAAATAAGGATAAGTCTTGTGGTTGGACATAACCGGTTGATCCTTCAGGAAAAATTAATAACTGACTTTTTTTATTAGCAAATACTGATCTAAACTTATCTAGACCAGTTTGAGTTTTCCAATAATCAAGAAAAAGAAGGAATTTTGTGCCAACAACAGGCGCAAGAACTTCCTTTAAGAAAATACGATGATTTTCATCGTTACTTTTTCCAGAGGTAGAAGCTCGTACAACCACGTTCGGCAGCACGATTAAATCCTTCTGCACTCTGGTACCAAATTCATTTTGTTTTTCGTGAAGAATTAGCAAAAATTTATTTAACAAGTGACCGGCAGCTGAACTAATAGGTTAAACTGTATACGAGTGAGTAATATTGTGTTTATTTTTAACAGCTACTTCTGTTGTTCGTTCACCAGTAAATGAAAGAGTTCTCAGTGAAACATATTCCTGTTGAAACGAACAATGATCACTGTTTAGAATTTTATGTGGAGTATATGTTGAAATTAATGATCTTTTGCTTTCAATCCAATTTCGGGCATCTAAAATATATTATTTTTAGATGAATATAATGAATTTGAATATGGTCGATGCATACCATTTAAAGTACAAATTTTTCTTTTTGATGTTTCTCGGGTAATAAGTTTATTGTATTTTCTTGATGAAATTCGATTTTCTTTCTTGAACCTGGTGACGAATGATTCACTTGCCTTGAAGGTATCCCAACCTAAATCTCTTGCCTTTTGTATTGCAAAAAGTTGTAGATCAATGTCATGAACTGCTTCTTTTTGAATGGCTCTTTTAACATAAAATTCGTTTAACACGAAATCCTTGATTTTATTTAGTTTTTCAAGATTTGAGCCGTTTCGACTAATATACTCTCAGAATCTTTTGATATAACTCATAGATTTAACTTTTCGAAATCTATGCAAAATACCAGCAATTGTATAATTTGGATGTTGATCAACCCATTCAACAATACTTTTCATTTCTTCCAAAGTGAAATAGTTTCTAATATCTGGATCTTGATTTTCTTCAACATCATCTGACTCATCACTACTGTCTTTATCCATCATATCATCGTATTCATCGTCAAATTCGAGAGAGTCATAGGCATGGAGTTCATTGAAGCAGTTGTGTTTGAAAGCCTTGAGTATTTCAAATAACTGCTGCGAAGCAAATATTTCATCAATCGTTGTTGTTGTTTTAGCTTCGGAACCGAATTCAGCTTTAGTTAAATGAAGAAGATGTTCTACGATATTCACTAGATTCATACTTTTATCGGATTAATGTTATCTTTTCAAAGCAATAATTTTTATAGAAGATTAGGAAATATGTTTCTACAAACTCACATTCGATTGCAACAACATTGAACCGATCTTAGAAAAGATATCGATATATCGAATATTGAAGCATCGATGCATTTCATTGCGACATCTTATGTACTAGTTACTGTTCTTACAAGAAGCTTATTTTACCTCATTCATGCGTAAATGGACCTTCTGAAAATATCGAAATTTGTGCAACATTATTTAAAAAAATAGTTAATGCTGCGAAAAAACTGAATTCGAAAAATTCTGTTGTTATTATGTCTAAATTTTCAATACCTTAAAATTTGAATACCTAGATCTAAGCGCGCCATGGGCAGCTCATATTTTCAGTTTGGTAGTTTCTCGTTGAGGGCTATCATTTGACACCAAAATAGTTAAGGAAATCGTCTGAGATGACAGACGAGTTCATTGTTAGTATCGTAGAGAAAAAAATGAAAAATACGTTAGTCTTATATTTTTGAGCAGTACTATATGTGACATTTATTTAATGTGAAGTACTGAAGAAAAACATTTGAATCAAAATCGCGGTCAACTATGATTGATTCGTACTGACTGCGGGTTATTTTTCAACTAAGCTTTCTAATTAAGACTACGGTTTTACTTGCTGCTGTCATATGAAGCCTCGGTGTTACGATAAAAACGTTTTCGAAATGTAAGAAAAATGTCGTGACCTTTTGGATCGAATAGCTATGTTTGGATTCATATAAACTATGATTTCGAGTGTTGTTATAACGAAATGAAGCACAAATTTAAAAGGCTCAGATACCTGTACTATTTGTGACAGATAACTTCCAAATACCGTTCCATTTGGCGAAAGGGATTTAATGAATTTTAAATTCTGAATTTAAAGATTTGTAGAATACACTTCTCCCACTCACATGTTACTGCCTTAATTAGTCGTTAATTTTAATTAAAAATAATATTATATTTGATTTTTCTATGAACAACGCGATATAGCTCACGTAAGTCTATCTTAAAAGGGGTACAATACGTATGTGTACGCCAGAAAAAAAATAGATTCCATGGACAACAAACAAAAGTAAGATCTATAACGAGGTTTTTAATTTTTTGTAAGTACATAGCATGTTCATGAGCATAAATTAGTACGAAGATATTACACGAAAAACGAGAAGTTAGTGTTCATTGTCAATGGCACTGGAAAATATAAGGATGTTCGTATGAATCCCATACTGGTTGATGTGTTATTGCTCTGAAAACTGTTGTAATTTCTCCGATTATCCAAGTAATCGATATATTGTCTATCTAATTTATTTATTCGAATTCAACGCATCATAGCATTAAGATAAGGCGCCATTTAAAAACGCATTTTAAAACAAACTTCATTCAATGGGTGAACCAAATTAAATTGCCGATCTTTATCAACTATATTCTGCTAGAATTTTAATCTTATTTTCTTCACAATGTAACAGCAACGGAAATAAGAAGTAGAGCACTATATTTCAATATGAAAAACTAGTCTTATGTAAGCATTTTCATGACTAGGATTTTTCAAAATACAATATACTTCAACACTGACATTGATGGTGACGCATTTTTATGTACATTGTATGCTTCTTGCAATTTTTTGATTGTGGAAGATTACTATGTACTAACATATATATTGATATAAATATGTTAAGTGATTACATAAGTGACGTCACACTTCAACATTTATATTTACATAAGATTCATAGGATCAAATCTCACAATAAGAAATTAAAAGATACGTAAGACTTTTGCAACTAATTGACAAGTGAGCGAGATTATTTTTTTAGAACAAAGAAGCTCATTTGAAATTAGTCTAATGCAAGAAACAACACTGTTTTATTTGCTCTATTCATTGCTACTCTTTGTTTTGAAAATAAAACTGAACATTTTATCAGAATATAATAGATAAAGATCGACAATTTAATCTAACTCATTCATTCAAAATCTATGAAAAAAGCAAAAATATTCATAGCGAACATATAGATGTTCAGGAGAGTTCGATCTCCTCTCCTCCCCTTCTCTTCTTTATCTGCACGTTCTTTTAGATAAGCTCCTTATAAAAATAAATTTAAGAAAATTTGTATATGGAAGAGAAGTTATTGAATAAGTTGAATGTGTCAGAAAACTAGAGAGAGTAATTACTTTAGGAAATATTAAAGTTTTTTTTCAAAAACTATTGATAATAGCGGCTTTTCAGGCGAATAATTCCAATGCCCAATTTGATTGGATCTACTCAGATTCGATTAACCGATAGAATCCGAAGAAAATATACCTGCTAGAATCGCCAATACATCTGACGAGCATCTAATGATAAACAACTGCCGAAACACGTAAACATTTCGACTGTCAGGTTCCGATGTGACTAGTGTAAGATTTTACTAATCTTTTTAATGCTTAATGACTCTTGCCTTTTCTGATACGATCGTATAGTTCAATGCTACCGCAATTTAACCATAGAGTTTCATAGATTTGGACTGTTGAAATTTGGCGTTTTCATGTAACCTTCCAGAGTTTTTGTTCTTTTCTTTGGGAACTTTCGGCTTCACGTTTGCGCCCGTCTCGGTAGATTTAATGTGCATGACGGATTAGATATGTGTAGATACTCTCATTTTTATATACAGTATTGCTTAAAATTATAAGAACAAGGTATATTTGATTTTTTGATTCTCTAAACTTCGGTTGCAATAAAAATTTCGAAAGTCAAAAGCTACAGTTGTTGAAAGATATCCGTTTGGAAAAGTATTTATGAAGATGTTATTGACACATGATTAACGTTGGATTGTGTTCTTCTGCTTGTAAATCGTATCTTCTCTTGCACCACATCCACACTAAACATCTGACAATGGTCGAGACTTACGTTGAGATAATGATTTAATTAGTCTATAAATAGCTTCTTTGTATTATTTGCCTTTATTGAAAAATAGCTAGTCGAATTTTCGAAGCGTAAGTAGAATACAACCTTAAATATATGTATGTACTCCATTGGTGATTTATTAATATTATTTACATGTAAAGATCTACGAAGAAGAAAAATGAGAAAAACATAATATCAGAGAATCAGTGCTTCGTCATTATTTGATAGCAGAACTAATCATCGTTTCCTTCATTCATTAAGCTTTATCTATTAGAAAGAAACACCAAATTTACTTTTCATGTTCAAATTTAGTGTTGAATCTTATTAAGAGACATTTCTTTTTCTATTATGTTGCTTGTTAAAGGCAAATTCTGTTGCTTCGTGTTGCACTTTTTGATAATCCGTCAATAGAGTTGCTCACTAAGAAAAATGCTTGAAATGCAGCTATTAGGATGTATTAGGATGAACAGTTTAGACTAAAGTTTTTTTTTATATGAACTCTATTGAAAAGTTATGCTTATTCATATATG